GCTGCCTGTCCTGCTTAGCAGCCGACTTGTCCCAGGGCCCTCAGTCCGGCCCTCCAATGGTCTGAGAGACAGTGAACTGGCCCCCTGTTTAAAAAAGTTTGAGGACCCCTGCCTTAGATGTCTATCATTTGCTATAAATAAAACTTTGATTAAAAAAATTAAAAATGTAGGGCGGTGCCTGTGGCTCAAAGGAGTAAGGTGCCAGCCCCATATGCCAGAGGTGGTGGGTTCAAACCCAGCCCCGGCCAAAAACTGGATGTCTCAGGAACCTGGCTCTGAACTACTGAGGGTAGAGATGAGTTGGCTTTAATGACCCCCACTGTCAGCGAAGGTTCTAGGGCCTTCCAAACCTTCACTCCACAGCATCGAGACCATCACTACAAAGCAACTGAGCTGGAGGATGAGGACAGCAAACAAGAAGGCATGATGAGTAAGGTATTTCCACCACTTTCTCCTCTAGTAAACCAGTCTCCAAGCCTTTAACTGGTCATCTTCCAAAAGTTTATTTTTACCTATTAAACTTATAATGTATTTCCCTGTAAATACAGTAAGATTGTCAGGCCAGTAGCTGCCAACTTATATCCATAATGCCACCCAAAATGTGGTCCCAGAGAGTACCACCTAAACACAAATAATAACTTTTCTGCAATAAAATGCAGCTCTGTATTGGAGTGGCAGGGTCTCATCCCACAGCTCCACAGGCAGAGGCGGTAATGCCCTCTGATGCAGGGAGCAACACACTGACACACACTACAGCCTCTAGCAAGGACACACAACCCACTTCCCAACAATGTCTTCTCCATCTATTTGCTGAAGATCTTTCTTGGTAATTAATAAAAACAACCAAGTCCAGAAGAGGGTAGAGAAAGAGTTACTAGCACTCAGCTTTTAATACAGCAGACAATGCATCTTGAAGAAGATTAACCTGTTCCTTTCTAAGCCTTAAATGCTGTGGTATCGGCCATCATCATGTTCTAATAAAAGCATTGTGACCACATTCTTTTATATCTGGCCAGTGTTTTATTTTCTTCCATGTGGTAACACAGTCGTGTTGAGAAAGAGAGTGAGAGTGCGAATAGGCACGGGACCCTGTCTTCTGTGGCACAACTGTCCTGTGTTCTCTAGTGCAAAACACCTGAGGGGACAGATCTGGACTGGAGCTTTCTGTGGAGGGGTTAAGTGGAAAGAAACCATTGCTCCTCTGCATGAGCCAATGGA